GGGGATTCAAACCGCCAACCTTCTGATCGGCAAGCCCTAGGCTCTGTGGTTTAGACCACAGTGCCACCCGTGTCCCCCACAGTGCCACTCACGTTCATAGTACTGATCGCCAAATAAACAAAGTTATGTTTGAGCTATAATTGCCTAGGAGTTGCAATTAGGTTGCAATGAGGCCAGATTTGTATTCATTATTGCACAGGCAAGCAGGGCTGGCAAAAGCATAAGGGTTATCATTTCAATGAGCACGTGCAGTTCAAATTCCACTTGATGGTTGAAATGCACCCAATCAATACCCTTAGGAGTTGACCAGCATTGGACACTGGTGTGTCATAAGACAAGTATCATGGATCCCAGAAGGCAACCATGGGATGAGTTATGTAAGGCCAGTCTCAATTGATCTAGTGGCATGCTTTCATTCTATGCTCTATAAGGCCCCTTGTGCCCTCCCAAGCAATACAAGAGCCCACTGGTGCCTGATGCCCCCCCCCCCCATTTACGTGTAGTTGTAACAAGCCCTCATGTGCAGGGTGCATGGAGCAGCAGCTTAATATTGTTTAAATTCAAACATCATACATTCAGCAGAATACTCAAAAAAGTATTTCACATACTGTTATATAATTATCAATCCCTTAAAATCAGAAGGATAAGATAAAAAAGACGTAAAGAGCACAAATGAATTGCTACTGGAATTTGACCTTATTCTACTTTTCAGATATGGATGAGTGCATCATATGCCCAGGAGATCAGTATCCAAACACGAACAAAAATGGATGCATCCCCAAAATAATAAGCTTTCTTTCTTACAATGAATCCTTTGGAATCAGCTTGGCCTCACTTGCTCTTTCTTTTTCACTGCTCACAAGTTTGTTGATAGGAACTTTTATTAAATACAAAGATACTCCCATTGTCAAAGCCAACAACCGGGATCTAACTTACATTCTCCTCATCTCACTACTGCTCTGCTTCCTCTCATCTTTGCTATTCATTGGGAAACCTGGGGAAGTGACCTGCATTCTTCGCCAACCAATGTTTGGCATTGTCTTCTCACTGGCTGTTTCATGTGTGTTGGCAAAAACTGTGACTGTAGTTGTAGCTTTCATGGCCACAAAGCCAGGATCTAGCACAAGGAAGTGGGTAGGAAAACAGCTGGCTTATGCCATTGTCCTTTCCTGCTCTCTTACTCAAGCAAGTATTTGTACTGTGTGGTTGATGACTTATCCCCCATTCCCTGAACTAGACATGGACTCTGTAGCAGAGGAGACCATTGTGCAATGTAATGAAGGGTCTGTGACCATGTTTTACTGTGTCCTGGGCTACATGGGCCTCCTGGCCCTTGCCAGCTTCATTGTGGCATTTCCAGCTCGCAAATTACCAGACAGTTTTAATGAAGCCAAGTTTATCACCTTCAGCATGTTGTTGTTTTGCAGTGTTTGGCTGACCTTTATCCCAACATATCTAAGCACCAAAGGGAAATCCATGGTGGAGGTGGAGATCTTCTCCATCTTGTCCTCCAGCGCTGGATTATTGGGCTGCATTTTTGTCCCTAAATGCTACATCATTGTGCTGAGGCCTGAGCTGAACAATAGGGAGCAAATAATGAGAAAGAACTGAGTAATACCTTTGTTTTTATCTTATTGATTTGTTATATATTAAGGGTTTTAGTATACAGCCCATTACTAAGAATGTCTCCAGAGTGGCACTCTTTTGAGGGAGGGATTGTCTTTGCCCCGAAGTATTACATCATTGTGCTGAGGCCTGAGCTGGACAATAGGAGCAAATAATGAGAAAAACTGAGTGATACCTTTGTCTTAAACTGATTCCATTGTATTTGGATTTGCTGCATTTTGCAACTCCAAAGAAAATGGCTTCATTTTGATTGGCATTGACTCACATGGGAAAACAGAAAACCAATTGCCATTTTTTTTGTGCCACAAGGGAGCAGAGATGTGGTCAGACTTAGAGTAAACACACAAGCACCAGCATCTTGGTTGCCAAAAGTGCCACTCTGAGCTAAACATCTGAGAAAGTTCTTATCTCTCCCTGCAATCATCCAAATCACCATGATTTAGTCACATAATCAAATGTAGTGTCAGGGACCGTTATGAGGAAGGCTGCACTGAGGAGGAATGGTGGGAGCCTCCCCCTCCTGATCTGGATCCTGAATCTTCACAGGAGCTCCTCATCTGGATCCTGTATCTTCATAGGATCAGAAGGACAGTATAGATTTGGAACAGTGGTTTGCAGAAGGATATAGTTCAGAAGGCAGAAGCTGGGAAATACTGGATGGGTAACAGCTAGGAGAAAAAACGCTGGAAAAGAGAGAGTTAACAGATTTACAGTTTCTGGAGAGTATCCACCCCCCCCTTCCTCAAAGTCCCAGAGAGCTCAGAAAGTGGCAGAATAGAAAACACAGTAGTTCCAAACTCAGATTACAAGATGTAGATTAATAAGGGCTGGGAGAGTTGGTGAACTTAATTGGGAGCACCACCATTTCTAGGAAGTTTGTTCTTTGTTCTCTCGCTGTGATTATTAAAGTTTCTAACTGGTAAGAAGACTCCTTTCCTTTGTTCTGCTTATCTACTGCCACCACAGTGGGAAGAAGCTAATTCCCTGAAGCCTGACAGCCAGAGAGGTTTCTTAGAAGGAAGAGGTAGAGGAAGAGGAAGAGGAGGAGGAGGAGGAGGAGGAGGAGGAGGAGGAGTTTGGACTTGATATCCTGCCTTTCACTCCCCTTAAGGAGTCTGAAAGCGGCTAACAATCTCTTTTCCCTTCCTCCCCCACAACAAACACTCTGTGAGGTAAGTGAGGCCGAGAGACTTCAGAGAAGTGTGACTAGCCCAAGGTCACCCAGCAGCTGCATGTGGAGGCACAGGGAAGCAAACCTGGTTCATCAAATTACGAGTCCACCACTCTTAAACACTACACTTAACCACTGGCACTATGGATGTCAAAAATACAAGCCTGGAAACCATTATAAATTTTACCAGGTGCCATGGAGAACTGGGAATAGGGGCAAAAGATGAACAATACTTCATCAGTTTAATTTCTGACTTTTTTGCCAGACCTAAAATCAGAGTGTTGGCAATCTCACCTACTGTTTCATTTGCAATCTTTTGACTATCAGAAACAGCTCACAGAACTCTGTTTTAGAACTGAGTTGGCAAGGCCAAGCATCACTCATAGTATCATGCTCAAGATGATAACTTGATACTGATGGGCACAGGAAGGTCTGTATTTTTAGAGAAGCTAGGAGGCCAGGATGTTGCGGGTCTGTATTTTTGGCTCTTGGTATTGTCGACTGCAAAGAAGATACTTTGAGGTGCCCTGTGAATTATCCGTTTCCTGTTCCACATGAGTGGTACCATCCAAGTGGTCTCATCAATGGTGGGATTGCTTCTCTGCTCTATTATGTATTTTATGAAGTGTTCTTCAAAGAGCATCCATCACAGAATCTGTCTGAAGTTCCACAGTAAGACTATTTCCCTCTCTACATCTCTCCAAATTTCCTTTCCATTTGTGCCATGGAGTGTCATGTTTTAATACTAATTACTGGTGTGGCAGATTTGCTTAGGTGAAGAGAGGGACAAAGAAATGCTTGAATCAATAACTATGAGTTCTCAAGGATCTGTCTTGTTTCACCTTGGCCCCTCCTCTTTCTCAGTCACATTATTAGTGTTTGTATTATTAGAAGCATTAGATATGCTGGCAATTAGTAGTAGTAGTAGCAGCAGCAGCAGCGGTAAACCTTTAAATTTATTCCCTGGCATCTACATTCCTCCAAATCGCCTTTCCCATTTTACTCATGTATTTTAGGTTATGGACTCCAGTGCTGACCCCAGGCTATCACTGGCAGAAACTGTTGTGGGAGACCTTTTTGGTTGAAGAGTGAGAGAAAAGTAGTGCTTCAAGTAAATAGATCAACTGGTTCACATGGAATCATTTAAATAACTGATAAAAAAATCTTTTTAGTTCTCTTCAATCACTTCCAGATCCCTTTGCATTTTTTTTTAAAGATTACACACAGTAAATATCATGGGTTTGTGGGTGCCCCGACTCCCTCTAGATTCCTGGGTGCTGGGATTTAATCAGTGCTTTGAGAATTAAGATGAGCTAACTGGCACTGGGTAAGAACACAGGCTGAGCTTGCTTTTTCTTTAGTATTCCTTTTTATTACAGTGAGGTTCATTACAATCTAATACAGGATAGGCTGAGAATAACTCAGTGCTTAGGGGAAAGTAAAGGGGAAACAAAGGGGAAACAGTGCTTAGGGGAAACAAAATAGAAAGAAGAGACCGAGGAGAGGAGAACTATACTGTGCGATGGTTGAGAATAGGCATCTGGCATGTGGTTTCAGTCAGGGGAAGGTGGATCTCACAAGCTGTAAGTCAGCCCCAAACTTCCCTCTCTGGCCCTCTGAACTCTCCCCAGGTTATAGCCTTCACTGACTCCACTTCACAAACACCCATGTGTTTTTTGTGAGGCTGGAAGTGCCCTTGAAATCTGATAATGTCATTAGGTGCTCTGTCCACTTTCATCTCTCGAGACACCCACCATTGGAATATAGTCCTCAGAGGGGAATTTAGTCCTCAGTCTGAAAAGGGTTCCCATTCAATCAAGTACAGTGAAAACTTTTGTTTGTTCATGCAGGTGAGTAAAGACACTTGTTTTTAAACTACAGAGAAATGCTGGCTGCCTTCCCCTGGGGGGGGGGGGGAACAAAGCTGGAAAGTGACATTAATTTGAAATAGCTTCCTCAAAAGCATGGGATTCAGAGGACATTCATAGTAACCACTTACATACTAAACCCCTTAGTATATAACCGGCATGTCCAACAACTTTGGTTCTTTGTCCCCCAAAAAAGCTCAACAACTTTCATCAATCCAACAAGTTTGGTCAATCCAATAGGTAGATCACTGCCAGTTTTTCATAGTGGGAGTAGATCGCAGTCTCTTGGGAGTTGGACATATAACAATACAATAGGATAAAAACAAAAAAATTGTTCACTTCTTTCTCCTTATTAGTTGCTCTCTGCTATTCAGCTCTGGCCTCAGCACAATGATGTAACATTTCGGGGCAAAGATGCATCCCAACAATCCAGCACTGGAAGACAAGATGGAGAAGATCTCCACCACCACCATGGATTTCCCTTTGGTGCTCAGATAGGTTGGAACAAAGGTCAGCCAAACACTGCAAAACAGCAACATGCTGAAGGTAATAAACTTGGCCTCATTAAAACTGTCAGGTAATTCACGAGCTTTGAATGCCACAATGAAGCTGGCAATGGCCAGGAAGCCCATGTAGCCCAAGACACAGTAAAACAAGGTAGTTGACCCTTCATTGCACTGCACAATGGTTTCTTCCATTACTGAGTACATGTCTAGAGCAGGAAATGGAGGAGAAGTCATCAACCACACAGTACAGATGCTTGCTTGAGTAAGAGAGCAGGGGAGAACAATGACACTGGTCAGTCTTTTTCCCACCCACTTCCTCATACTGGAGCCTGGCTTTGTGGCCATGAAAGCTACAACTACGGTGATGGTTTTGGCCAACACGCAAGAAATAGCTACTGAGAAGACAATGCCAAAAGTTGGTTGGCGAAGAAGGCAGGTCACTTTCCCAGGTTTTCCTAGGAACAGCAAAGATGAGAGGAAGCAGAGCAGGAGGGAGATTAGGAGAGTGCATGTGAGGTCCCAGTTGTTGGCTTTCACTATGGGAGTGTTTTTTTGTTGAATAAACATTCCTAGCACCAATATTGTGATCAGGGAAAAAGTAAGAGTAACTGAGGCTAAGCTTATCCCTAATGGTTCCTCATAAGAAAGAAAGCTTATTATTTTGGGGATGCATCCATTTTTGTTCTGGTTTGGATACTGATCTTCTGGGCATCTGAAGCAGTTTTCCATATCTGAAAAAACAGAAGAGGATAAAATTTCAGTGGCAATGCATGTTTGTTTTTTTGCCTCCTATGTAACAATTGTTGCTGCTGTTCATCTGAACCTTCTTATTCTGAATGAGCATGATTTGATGTGGAATGATTTGAATTGTTGTTAAATATGTTGACTGAAATTATCAAAGTTTTGCTTAAAGCAGTTACAGATAGGTAGCCGTGTTGGTCTGCCATAGTCAAAATAAAAAAAATCCTTCCAGTAGCACCTTAAAGACCAACTAAGTTAGTTCTTGGTATGAGCTTTCGTGTGCATGCACACTTCTTCAGATACACATATCTGAAGAAGTGTGCATGCACACGAAAGCTCATACCAAGAACTAACTTAGTTGGTCTTTAAGGTGCTACTGGAAGGATTTTTTTTATTTTGCTTAAAGCAGTTTAAGCTGCCACTCCATTCAACCTGCAGGTGGAGGTCGATAGGCTTTATCTGGTGATTTCAGGATGGCAGATCCAAGTGGAACAATGCTTCCATGCCAATTCCATACCCTCCAGCATTCCTTTGATGAAAATAGGGGATTTATTTCTACATCAGTGTCCTCACCCCATGCCCTCTTTATTCAAAAACAAAAGTAAAAATTGGTTCTGAAGCCAATACTCTCTGACAGTATCATCATCGTCATCATTATACAATTATATACCTCCATTTTCTTCCATGGAGCTCAGGGTAGTGTACATGGTTCTCTGCCTCCCCATTTCAACCTCACAACCACCCTGTGATGTAGGTTAGGTTAAGAGATGGTGACCTTTAAAGCCCTAAATAGCCTTGGCCCAGTATACCTGAAGGAGCATCACCATCTCCATCATTCAGCCCAGAAGCTGAGCTCCTCCTCCAAGGGTCTCCTGGTGAAAACCAGGTGGAGGACCTTCTTGGCAGTGGTGCCTTCCTTGTGGAACGCCCTCCCATCAGATGCCAAAGATAAACAACTTCATGACTTTTAGAAGACATCTGAAGGAAGACTTGAATAGGGAAGTTTTTAATGGTTGAGGTTTTCTGTGATTTTATATGTGCTGTAAGCTGCCCAGAGTGGCTGGGGGAACCCAGGCAAATGGACAGGGAATAAATGATAAAATTATTTTTTTTATGACTGGCCCAAGGCAACCCAGTGGGCTTCATTTGAACCCTGTGGGGTTTTGAACCATGATCTCCCAGATCATAGTCTGACACTCTAACCATTATGCCACACAGTAGGTAGGGGATCATTGTCATATACCATTTCTGTTTGAAACCTTCCCTTCTGGACATGGAACACAATCATAGCAGCAAAATTTCTCGCCTTCCTTCTTTTTCTTCTGATTACCAGGGCAGCAGTAGTCATTACACACAGAAATAGGCACCACCTATCAATAAACCAGAAATAATTTCCAAAGGGTGAAATACTTGAAAGAAATTTTAAGTTGTTGAACTTCGAATAAGAAAGTGGACCAGTCATCCCTTAAACGTTTTTACAGAAAATGTTTTTTATATGAAGTTAAATGTTTGTCTTAGGAAATCAGAAGTAAAGATGCAAAACACAATATACATATTAAATTAGGACCATTTTATTAATGCTAAGAAATTGTAAATTATATAGGGAGAAGACCAGGTGTGGCAAACCTCTATCACTCTCCTAAGCCTTTCTTGATTGGGTGAGATCTTCCTGATTCACCACCCCATCTAAGGCCCACATTGATTAATATGTAAAGTGACCATACCCTGTTGAACAGGCTATAGAGGCCACAGCTGTCAGGCTTCAAGGAATTGGCTTCTTCCCCCCGGGGCAGTAGATAAGTAGAACAAGCAGAAAAGGAGTCTTCTCACAAGTTAGAAACTTTAATAATCACAGCAAGAGAACAAAGAACACATCTCCTAGAAAAGGCAGTGCTCCCAATTAAGGATCACACCCCCTTCCGTTCCTATTAATCTATGTCACTCTTACGTCATGCAATCTGAGCTTGTACCCTCTGTGCTTTCTCTTCTGCCACTTTCTGAGCTCTTCATGACTTTGGAGAAGAGTGTGTATGTGAATGCTGTCCAGAGACTGTGAATCTGTTAACCCTCTCTCTTCCAGTGTTTCTTCTCCTATCTGTTTCCCATCCAGTATTTCCCAGCTTCTGCCTTCTGAACAATAACCCTCTGCAAATCACTGTTCCAAATCTATACTGTCCTCTTGCTTCTGGGAAGAGTCAGGATCTGGAGCAGGGGGAGGGGGAGGCTCCCACCATTCCTCCTCAGTACAGTCCTCCTCAGCACAGTCCCTGACAACAGCATACAAACCAGTTTTGGCAACCTTTCCCCTCTCCTGTATATATATGTCAAATGACCAGAAAACAAATTCAACTAATTATCTGACTCCCACAAGTAACTGCAGTTATCTGGAGCTTCTGGTTAGGCATATGAAGTAGAAGGAAAAATACCTCCAACCTGAGCCAGACAAAGAAAGAAGAGAACAAAATATTTTACCTGGCCCCAACTGTGGCAACCAGCATATCTCATACAGCCTACCAGGAGCAAGAGATGGGTGCTATGGCTTCAGTGAAGGAAGCTGGTGGGAAAGCGTTATATATTCTCTGTTTATGCATCCCAAATATAAACCACCCATCTGTGGATTACTGTTTCCAGGCTTCTGGCAACTCTCACAAATATGCTTCCACCTTGATGCTTTGAGGATGATGGGGGAAGCAATATCAGCTCTACAGGAATGCAGATGAGGTTGGGTGGTTCAGCCCTACCTAGACCTGAAAAGAATATGATATGGAACTTCAACTGAGCCATGCCCCTGTTTCCATTAAAACTAAATCAACCCATTTTTGCTTCATGAATAATTTTCATTTGGATCATCCTGAGCCCTGTCATATATAAATGAGGCACAGTAAATATTATTAGAAGTTCATTTCCAAATATTGTTAGAAAATATACATATTATTTCTATGAACTTCTCCAAGAGAAGAATGGTGGTTATTCTGAGCATTTGAAGGATTGATGTGGAAAGTGAGGAGCCCACAAGAATACCCCAGAACCCAACCTGGTTAAAACCGTTGTGCCAAATGATCATGTCCTCATGAATGATGAATTCTTTTCCATCAAGAGCATTAGGATTCACCCATCCTATTTTCATTCGAATGAAGGACTTGTTTGGAAATGTGACCATGTTCATTATGTCAAATCCACCTCGCATTTCTCTGTTATCTGTAAATGATACTGTTTCTCCAGCTGAGTTGTTAAATGAAATGCTATGAAAAATGGGGTGAAGCTAATTAAAGGAGAAAAGAGACATGAGGGGGAAAGAATGTTATGAAAATATTGGCGACAATGACATGCCTTACCAGAATCCTTTTTAGATATATTTATTCAACATCATCTAACAAAGAGGAAGTGTTAAAAATCAGTTTTCTTTTGTTTTTACATTGGCCCATTTTATTATGGATTGATGGAACACAAAAAAATATTTTCAGGCAAAATGTAGACAGATTAATATGGAAACATAAAACATTGGCAGTCAGTAGGATGTGGAACATCATTTCAGCTGTTACTTGTCTTAATCGATCATGTAATAAATTGATGATTTAAATAATAATATATTTTGTTTCACTTCATTTGTACAGCATTACCTGCCAAGGCTGCAGATCCCGAAGTTCTAATATTTGACTTCCTCCCATTGTTCGCTGCCTGGATCTAGATGAATAAAAGTCATGCAAGGCATGAGCCACAACATTGACAGCTTTGTAGATACTGTAGCTGTGGCCAGTCATGCACATTTCAAAAAGAGGCCCTGGAAGACTCTGCAACCTCTCTTCCCCAGTGCATATGTCATTGGCGTTCATTGGCACATTGGGATTTGGTAAGAAACAATCAAATGCTTGTTCCCAGAAGTCTTTGAAAAAACCATCTCCCTGGCTCTGGGAATGCTTAATGCTCTGAAGAAATTTGGTGAAGTTTAGAAGATTTTGTGAGTGAATTGTGAATGAAATGGCACCATGGAAGAGCTGGAGTCCCCAAGTCTTATGAAAGCCCATTAATATGAAATCAATCTGGGCTGTCAAGATCCACACCTTTCTAAATGAAATGTCTTCCTCATTTGCAGGATCTCGCAAAAATATGATAGCTCTCAGCCATATAATCATCAAAGATTCTCCATAGATGATAAATGTAGTGGTTTTATTATCTGTGAATGGTACATACATATTTAAGGCTATATCACTAATTTTACCCAAGTCATCATAGTGGACTAGTTGTGGGACTCTTTGTGTGAAGGCTGAACAAATTCCATTTTGAGAAAGCAGTGGCTCCAGGATGTTGATGAAATATTCTCCTTTGGCATCATCTTGAGCAAAGAGTCCAACCCATGTCCATCCAAAATGCTTAAGCAAGCTGATAATCCCTATGTACTGATGGAGTTCATTGGGTACCATTCGGTAAAATGCAGAAACCTGTTTTGAATCACTCTCCTCTGGGGGAAATGAACCATACGTGAGCTGAAAGGAAATGTACACATATTATCTAGTTATGTCAAGAGCACTCATCCTATACAACATGATTTCTTATTCAACAGATATTTTTGGAGTAATCCACAGGTTAAAGCTAAGGATTTATCCAGTTGGGGTTTATTATAAGCTTCTTTCCCCATTCCCCATTTTGATTTGAAATTTGAACAGATCAGTTGCACATCCCTAAAAATAACACAAAGAGAATGACATGGACAGGAAAAATTAAATAAAGATGTAGGAAAAACAGAATAAAGAATACACTCATAGAAATTAAAGGACATGACTTAGTCATGATACTTTTACACACCAGACCAATCTCCACAGCAGTGTGAGACTGCAGGGGTCAAGACACTTACGGAGGGTTTGTGTTTCCTTTGGAAATGAGGCACACTAGAGACTTTATGATATATGGTTTATTTACACATATATACAGGGTGAGTCCTTTAAAAGAGGCCCCGTGGATACAGAATACACATGTTCCATGGGGCCTCTTTTAAAAGACTCACCCTGTACAACCTGAACATTGCACTCCAAGAGGGTCTTGTTTCTTTCAAAGTGGTCACCTCGGATTCAAAACTCCCAGCCCACATTGCTTTGATTGCTTTTTCCCCAGATTGCAAATTGCTTTCAAAACACAACTTTTGACTCTTGCAAAACTGTTCTACACCCTACACATCAAGCAAAACTGCTCTACACCCCCCCAAAAAAAACCCCACCTCTCTCCTCTCCTTCCAAGGTTTTGTCTTTCTACTCATTGGGCTCAGAGAGGGGCTTCCCCCACTTGCCGAATCTCAGCTTTTTAAATGGCCCCACTTCCTACCCTTTGTTTGCTTACCAACTCAGCCATTACCATTCTTTGTTTTCCTTGATGGTTCCTCTGTCAGGTGGTTTCCTGGACATGGGAAAATGGTTTGGCCTTTATTTTAGCACTTTGATAAATCCACCTCCAAGAATTAGAAGGGAAGCCTATTCAAGCAAACTCATAACAATCTTAAATGCTACCTGATGTGTCTACTCTGAGGAGAACACTCATTGGATAAAGCACATAAAGGGAGCAAAAACAAAGCAAAACAAAACAAAAAACACCAGGCTCCCATTCATACATCCTACCTGTGGAATCTTATAGAGACCTAATATGTCTGCCATAAGAAAGGAGGTACCAGCCCCGAGTCCCCCAATGATGGATATGAGGTTTTTCTGAAAGTCACATTTGTAGTTGGGGACGAATTTGTGCATTTTGAAGAGCAGGTCTAGGGTAGTACGGTAGGTCATCCTTGCATCATAATAGCTATCATAGATGTGGAAGCCAAGAGTGAAGTTGGGCAAGATGTTAGGACTCTCATCTATTTCTTTCACAGCAAACGCCAAGGCAAGAACATGTTGGTAGAATTTTGTCACTATGCTGAAAATAAAGTTAATTATTTCCAAGATCAATGCTCCACAATATCAAACTTTTTCTGCCTGAAACTGATTTAGATTGAAATTTATTTATTTACTTATTTATTTGCCATTAATCTATTACCTTAGATTATTCTGTAGAATATCCCTACAGAAAATTAATGGTTGATTAGGGCTCTCCTGCTTTCCATAGTACTTTTACACATCTATTGGGCTCATCCTGTCTTTGGGCTTTTCATCTCAGTGTACAAAATAAAATACAATAAAATAACCCTGTTTCTCGCTAAGCATATCACCTTCACATATCTCAGAACTATGCTCTGGACCATGAAAGTTGTAATCATTTATTCACTTAAAGTATGCCCCGATGGATTCAGCAGGGCTTTCTTCTCAGTAGACAGTTGGGGAAAGGCCATTGCTCTGCACCACAACAGCAGTCAGGCAGAGCTATGATAGTTTATAATTTAAATGTTATGCTGTGGACCACCCAGAGATCTAGGGTATAGAGTATATGGCAGTATACACATTTAATTGGCAGGGGGTTGGACTCGATGGCCCTTGTGGTCTCTTCCAACTCTATGATTCTATGATTCTAATAAATAAAACAAACAAATAAATTTTACATGCAGGAAGTCCCCAGTTTAATCCTCAGCTTCCACAAGAAATGCTTGGTAACACCTTAGGCTTCATACAAATTCCTCCTATTTCCAAAGGAATGGAATTAAATTATGTGTTTAGAGGAATTTTCTATTAAATTACCATGCATGGGATGTGAGGGATTTTGGGGGCGGGCGGGGGGGGGGTAATTACTTACTTCCTAAGTGGACAGTGTTTTTTATGACTGACCTTTATTTCTGTCCACAAGTAATCTTTCTTGTGGTGTGCATACTACGACCTTCTTTGGTGGTTCACCTTCCTGACTTTCTTATAAGTGTCTCTGGGACTGGCAGAACTCTGGTGACTGTATGGTGGGTCAGCAATATCAAAAGCAACACCATGGCCATAAACAGTTACAATATGAAAAACTTTATGGAATAATTCAAAACATCAAAACTAACAAACTGAAGTCTCTGAAAGTCTCTGGACTTCCTTAAATGAATCATGGTGCCAGACTTTACCAATCTTTTTTTCCAAATAGATATAATATACATGAGAATGAAAAGTACTTTGGAACAGTGCTCATGTGATTATGTAGTCACTGTTCTATTCGAAAAAGGATTGGTTAATGAATATCTTTCTACTTACAAGTGTTGAACTAATTTGCTGATGAAGAATTCAACGAAACAGTAGTTGTTATCCAGAAACACTGTTCATCAGACTTCAGAGTTGGACATCAGAATTGGACAATTGGACATTTGCTGGTTATTCAAAGCTTCACAGCTTGTTCTCCACCAGGTAAAGTCTGGCACTGTGATTCATTTAAGGACTTTCAGAGACTTTCACTTTTTCATATTGTAATTGTTTCTGGCCATCATGTTGCTTTTGATATTGCTGACTCATATTTTGCAACACAGGGATTTGTTTGTTTACTCATAAGTGTATGGTGGGTGCAGAGGGGTCAGCGGAAGACCTGGGAGAGGGGACCAGTGATTTATGGGATTTGGTGCCTCTCATGAGGCAGGAGCCAGGGAAGGGGAAAGAGGACAGGTCAAAGCAGTCAGAGGTAAAAGAGCAGGTACAGGAGGAAGAGGCTGTCCAGGCAAATTTGTGTCCTAGAAGAGGGAAGAACTGTGACAATTTCCATGTAGGAGAAGCCTCAGGTCCCATGCATACACCCCATCAGAGGAAGATACATAAGCTGGGGTGGATAGTCCCATGGTTGCTGCAACTGCTTCATAGGGCATGGACCAAGGAATAGCTGCTTAGATATAAGCATGTATGTTCGTGTGTATCCAGTTGCCGTAGTTGCTGCTGGAAGTGCACACATTTGTTAATAAAGAATTAACTATCTGATGTCTGCCTTCCTTGGCTTATTGGACTCAGGACAAAGTGTGGGGATGTTCAGAGGCTGGACAATGTGCTCCTGAAAAGTGTGGATTTTCTTTAAAAAAAAGATTCCTTCCCGTATGGAAATATTTTATGCATTTGTGTACTTAGAAGGAAGGACTTTAAAAGGAAAATCAGCAAGTGTTGACTACATGCCAACTTCCCAATGAAAGCGCAGGATATTTCACAACAGAACTTTTTCTTTCAAATCAGGTGGCATAAATGAAATGACTAATAGAAAGATAACCACCCTCACCAGTGTTAGCCACCTCAAACCCAAAAGTTAATCTCAACTCCCCGCACACTGAAAATTGAAAGCACCCTAAAAGTGGGAAGGAAGCTTTGGGGGAAATGGAAGAAGGATTTAGCACAGGTTGGTTTGTATTATTATTTTGAATTTCATCCCTGGGTTATCTTATTTTTTCATTTATTTATTTTCATTTTCAGCCTTATGCTCCTCAATATCTGTATTGCAATCACACTTGGTGCATATAAAACCAAAATCACAGTCACTTTCCTCATTCTTTTACAAAATAGAAAACATCCCTCCTTCTGGTAGTTTTAGCAGACTGCAAAACGTTCACAAAGGGATTGAAAATGAGAAGCATTTTTAAGCCCACTGTTTGCCCCCAAAAGCTCTCAATGCAAGTTACAAATATCAGTGAAATGACAAGCGCTACCTTTAGACAAGAGAAAAAGGTAAAAATAAAATAAAAAAGTTACTTGGAAGATTGATGTGGGTGGGGAGACTCTTACTATGCAACATCAAATAGTTTTTGTGATGGGTGTTCCTTGAATGAAACTTCATAGAAAATATAGCAGATCTGAGAAGCAATCCCACCAATGATGAGGTCACCTGGCTGGTACCACTCATGTGGAACAGGAAAAGGATCACCCCAGAGACACTTTGTAGTATCTGCTTTGAACACAGCAGAAGGAATTAGAAACAGCAACACCAATAGCCACAAGACCCTGGCAGCCAGGTTTTTCAAGGTATGCACACTCTGTTGTGTCCGTCCATCCATAGTAGCTGTATTTGAAGACACTACATTGAACGGAGCATGGCTCAGTCAATACATCTCTAGAAGAGAGAAGCTGAACTGTGTTTAATCAAAGTGCTACAAATAAATCCCATGAATACCTAACAGAGATTATAACATCCCACCATGAAAGGATAAAACCCTGCCTCTTAGCCTGCCCCAACTCTCCAAAGCACATGGGATTATTTATATCAGGTTTGCTAACTGATTGTTTTCTGGTTCCTTCTAGAAAGTCTCTGAAGTTTTGACCTGGTGAAGAAATTACAGTGATTTGAACAATTGCTGAGTGGCACTTTTGCTCTTTTTAAAAATCCCAATTCATACCACAAGTCTCTCCTGCTCCTTACTAGAAAAACAGTGTCAGGTTGAGTTTTACAAGCTTAACAAACACCAACAGGAAACTCAGAGTGAGGTCATTAGCTTTAGGGTACAAAGCAGCAGGGCAACATTTTGAGATTACAGCCACTTCCCAACTCCAGTTTTCTTCAAAGTGATGGGAGTCAATATTTCTCTGTAGCTTTAAACTATAGATTTAAAACAAGTTGTTTGACTCTCCTGTACAAAACAAATGAATACACTGCTATACTCATGGGGAATCTTTTTGCAACCTGGGGACAGAATTCCCTTCCCACTAACTTTTCAAGGCCAGTGTTGAGTGGGGCCAGAGTTGATTATGGGCAGAGCAATTCATGTAAACTTTACCTTCGTACAGTGTATAGCATGTACACACCCCTTGTAATACAGCATTGAGACTATCAAGAGACATTATCAGAGTTCAAGGACACATTCCAGGGAGGCAAAGACACTCAGGTTATGAAACTTAACAGTATAACCCAGAGACTGTCCTGATGGCATGATAAACGTGTCCAGAGGACGGGCAACCAAAATGGTCAAAGGCCTGGAAACTATGCCTTATGAGGAATGGCTAAGGGAGCTGGGCATGTTTAGCCTGGAGAAGAGGAGGTTAAGGGGTGATATGATAGCCATGTTCAAATATATAAAAGGATGTCACATAGAGGAGGGAGAAAGGTTGTTTTCTGCTGCTCCAGAGAAGCGGACACGGAGCAATGGATCCAAACTACAAGAAAGAAGATTCCACCTAAACATTAGGAAGAACTTCCTGACAGTAAGAGCTGTTCGACAGTGGAATTTGCTGCCAAGGAGTGTGGTGGAGTCTCCTTCTTTGGAGGTCTTTAAGCAGAGGCTTGACAACCATATGTCAGGAGTGCTCTGATGGTGTTTCCTGCCTGGCAGGGGGTTGGACTCGATGGCCCTTGTGGTCTCTTCCAACTCTATGATTCTATGATTCTATGATAAAGAGGTTTGTAGGGCCACTGGGCCTAAAGTCCTTTCCCCAGCCCCCAACTGTAGTGAAACCACTTCTCTTTTTTCCTCACTGTTTTGGTAGCAAGTTCAGTGGTGGCTATTGATGTTCCTGTGCCTTCATTACCCATAAGCTGTTCCAGGATGGGGGGAGTGGATAAATTCCTCCAAAAAACTAACAACTGGGAACTCCCTTTAAGCTCTTGGTTCTTCTTCTAAAGCCATATCAGTACCCACACCATACTTGTCAGGTGTGGTGCAGGTGGGTGTGCTGTGTTGGGAGCAGCCTGACAACAGTCTGATGGGCAAAATTTGAGTAAGCTCCCCATGCTGCACTATGGTGACAGAGCACTTAGTTTTTAAAAAATCTTAACTTCTTACTGTGTGTTTGAATCCCTCCGGCAAAACAGTGACACTCCGGAGACATCACTATTAACCACCTCTACACTAAAAGCCTTTCTTAAAAAATACTTTTGTTTTGCTTTAAACAAATACAGATAAATATAAACAACCAAAATTACAAAAGAAAAAGCCTTAATAATAATAATAATAATTGAAAAAGCTAAAAATAACTACAAAAAATATCAAAGTACGTGGCATAGAATATAAGCCATTATGGGAAAGAAAAAAGAAAAAGGAAAGAAAGGAAAAGGGGGGAGGGGGAGAAAAAGAAGAAGAAGAAAAAAAGGAAGATGAGCCAAAACACAAGAAGGCTCACCTATTATATGCTTCCGTCAAGATCACAACAGATCATTATTCTTATCAATTCTCTCTATCTGCATTCCATATTATCCCTCATCTTGGTATCAGGGAACATTTCCCTATGCAGTATCATTCTAAACATAACCAGGTCTTTCTTGATGAACCCTTATCCCCTAGATAATTATTTAAACATTCCCATTCTTCTTTCACCATCTTTTTAGGTATATCTCTTATTGCATCTGTCAGCTACACTAAAAGCCTTGATACACAACAAAACAATAAGATAAAAACAAAAATATTGTTCACTTCTTTCTCCTTATTAGTTGCTCTCTGCTATTCAGCTCTGGCCTCAGCACAATGATGTAACATTTCGGGGAAAAGATGCATCCCAACAATCCAGCACTGGAAGACAAGATGGAGAAGATCTCCACCTCCACCATGGATTTCCCTTTGGTGCTCAGATAGGTTGGAACAAAGGTCAGCCACACACTGCAAAACAGCAACATGCTGAAGGTAATGAACTTGGCTTCATTAAAGCTGTCAGGTAATTTGCGAGCTGCAAATGCCACAATGAAGCTGGCAATGGCCAGGAGGCCCATGTAGCCCAGGACACAGTAAAACATGGTCACTGAGCCTTCATTACATTGCACAATGGTTTCCTCTGTTACTGAGTTCATGTCTAGATCAGGGAATGGGGGAGAGGTCATCAACCACCCAGTACAAATACTCATTTGAATGAGTGAGCCAGAAAGGACAATGGAGTTGCTCAGTCTTTTTCCCACCCACTTCCTCATGCTAGATCCTGGCTTTGTGGCCATGAAAGCTACAACTACAGTCACAGTCTTTGCCAATACACATGAAACAGCCAGTGAGAAGACGATGCCAAACGTTGGTTGGCGAAGAAGGCAGGTCACTTCCCCAGGTTTCCCAACGAATAGCAAAGATGAGAGGAAGCAGAGCAATAGGGAAAGTAGGAGAATGTAAGTGATATCTCGGTTGTTTGCTTTGACAATGGGAGTATCTTTGTATTTAATAAAAGTTCCTATCACCAAACTTGTGAGTAGTGAAAAAGAAAGAGCAAGTGAGGCCAAGCTGATGCCAAAAGATTCATCGTAAGAAAGAAAGTTTATTATTTTGAGGATGCATCCATTCTTGTTCTTGTTTGGATACTGATCTGCTGGGCATCTGACACAGTCATCCATATCTGAAAAAGAGGATAGGGTCAAATTCCATTGGCAATTCATGTGTGCAATTGCTTCCTGTTGATCTTAACCTTCTGATTTTTAGGGAGCAGGTGATCATATAACAGTATGTGAATTACTATTTGAGTAGTCGGCTGAATTTATCCTACAAACAATATTAAGCTCCTCCTCCTTGCACACTGAACATGGGGGTCTTACTCCAGCTGCACTGATACACTCTTTTTGTTGCTGGCGGGGACACAGAATCCAAGCATGTCCCTAGGTCAAGTGAGGCTGGATTTACCTAAACTCATCCCATAGTAGCTTATTGGAATCTTAGTGGTTCTTGCCCTGTGGCATAAAAGTGCCCAGTGCTGGACAACTCCCAAGACTATTGGGTGCATCTCAGCCATTGAGTGGAATTTGAACAGCAGGTGCTCATTGAAATGCTAACTTTCTTTTTGCACTACAGGTTTGGCAACCCTGATTACCTGTGCAGTCATGAAAATAAGTCTGGCCTAATTTCAACCAGGATGGATGCCTAGTGTGTTTCATTCCAGTCATACACACAAGGCACAAATCTGCACCTCTTGATATGTGTACAAGAAAAAGACCTTTGGGATAACTGGGGAGCACTTTCATATCTATGTGCATGGTATTGCACCAGGGTTATTAGATTTTGAATGTTTCCTTCAGAAGTTACAGGAAGGCAACAATTACCCATACTTCTTTAAGAAGGATAGTGTTGTTACGTGCACAACATAGTATTTAAATTCATTTAAATCAATGTGACTCAATAATCATTGCTTAATTGAGTTTGATGAAAAATGTTATGTACCATTCTTGTTTCAAATATTTCCTGTGCGCTGTTAAGCTGGACTGGGTGGTTACGTGCACAGCATATATTTACATTCTTTTCAACAGATATTTGCTAATATTTTACAATGAAAAATGTTATTTACCATTCTGGTTTGAAATCTTCCCTTCTGGACATGGAGTACAATCATAGCAGCAAAATTTCTGTCCTTCCTTACTTTTCTTCTGATTACCAGGCCGGCAGTAGTCATTGCACACAGAAATGGGCATCATCTATCCATACACAGGATAGATCCTGTGTATCAGTCGCTGCTCTTCAAATCAGAAAATGAACTACTCATCCCCTCCCAAAAAAAGTTTCACCGAGCCCTGTGGCAAGTCTCCGGAATCAGACTTTGCCCAAGGTAAACCTCTACCTGTTTCTTTTAGTGCACCCACTTGCCAAGTGGCCAGAAAGCCAATTCACATAATTAAAGGCATGTCATATAAAGCAGGGAGGAGACAACACAATTATTTTTGCAAGCTTGCAATGTTGCCTATTGACCGCTGGACGGCACCAAGCCTAAACCCAATCTGGCCACATCTTTTACGGAGTCTCCACAACACCTTATATCCTCTGTGTCCAGATTTTCCAGGGACAGTCCTGAAATTATGAAATGTTGGAGAGTATGCTGTTGGCTCCCTAACTGGCAGCATCACGCATCCACAAAGAAAGCCAGAAGAAACCAATTGAAAGGTTTTGACCCATCCCAGACAGGATTCAGATTGGAAGGCAGCATTAGCTCGCTAGGAATACAGCAAAAGTTGGGGTTTAGTCAACACTATTTAGACATGGAAATGATTTGATATGGGGGTCTTCCGATAGGTCATGGATCCTTTCCAACTGAAGCAGAAAATACCCATATTTCCCCCATGAATAAATTTTATCTTAATAACACTATACTCTGCCATACATACAGTAAACAAAGCGAAACAAATATAATTAAACTTCTTTTCAACTAAGAACATAGTTTTATTTTCTAACTTCATATTTGCCTCCAGCTAGGTTTCCAGATCTTTCTCATGAAGCTATCAAATAGAAAAGTGGTGGCCATCTGGAGAGTGCATCAACTCAAAGGAATACCCTGATTCCAGACCTGATTAAAGCCTTTGTTCCACATAATCATGTCTTCATGAATAATGAATTCTTTTCTGTCGGGAGCATTGGGATCCACCCATCCAACCTTCACTCGAAGGAAAGACTTGTTTGGGAAGGTGATCATGTTTGTGATGTCAAAACCGCCTCCCATTTCTCTGTTATTAGTAAAGGACACTTTTTCTCCAGCTGAGTTGTTAAAGGAAATGTCAGGGAGAAAATGATGCAGCTAATTGAAAGAGAAAAGAGGGATGAAGGGGGAAAGAACATAAACTGGTTATTGAACAAAATGCATTGGTTTGCAAATACCTTTCTATTAGCATTATTTAGATATAGTTATGTAATTTCATTTTACATAGATCAAGTGTTAAAAATCAGCTCTTTTGACATAACAGATGGAAGTTTTTATGCATTCAGTGAACAAAAACAAAAACTGAAGCAAAAATGAAAACATAAAAAATTATCAGTTAGTGCCATGAGCAAGAAAATTGTGATGGAATCTTACTTTCTCAATGAAATTATTGTACTTTTGATATTCTTCATTTGTACAGCATTACCTGCCAAGGCTGCTGATCTTGAATTTTTAATCTTCCAATGCTCCCCGTTACTCTCTGCTTGGATCTAGACATGTAAATGGCATGCAAAGTTTGAGCCACAACATAAACAGCATTGTAGATACTGTAGCTATGGCCAGATAGTTCCATTTCAAACAGAGACCTTGGAAGACTCTGCAGCCTCTCCTCCCCAGTACACATGCCATTGACCTCCTTTGGTGCACTGAGATTTGGAAATATACAGTCAAATGCTTGCTCCCAGAAGTCTTTGAAGAAACCATCACCCTGGGTCCAGGAAGGCTTCATGCTCTGAAGGAATTCCTTGAATGCTAGAAGATTTTGTGAATGAACTGTGAAAGATATAGCACCTTGGAAGAACTGAAAATCCCAAAACCTAACAAGGCCCGGTAATATAAAATCAATCTGGGCTGTCAAGATCCATACCTTTTTAAATCCTGTATTTTCCTTATTGGTTGGATCTCGCAAAAATACAACAGCTTTCAACGCTAGCATTGTGATAGTATCCCCATAGACAATAAATGTAGTGACTTTATTTCCTGTGAATAGCATATATACATTTAAAGCTTCATCATTCATTTCATCCAGGTTATCGAAGTGGAGTTGACGTGGGATTCTTTGTGTAAAGGCTGAACAAATTCCATTTTGAGAAAGCAGTGGCTCCATGGTCTTGATGAAACATTCTCCACTGTTATCTTTAGGAGCAAAAAGTCCAACCCACATCCATCCAAAATGCTTAAGCAAGCGGATAATCCCCACAAACTGATGGGCTTCGTTGGGTACCATGCGATAAAAGGATGGGAATTCAGTTCTGTCACTCTCTTCTGGAGGAAATGAACCATATGCAAACTAAAATTAAAATTAAGAAATGTACAGCTGTTATAAAGTTATGTGCAAAAAATTCATCCTGCATCATGCAACTTTTATTTTTACCAATATTTAAAGTTTGCATCCAATGATTCTTCCAGTATAGGCTTTTTTATATGCTTCCTTTAAAATTGCATTTTGATTTGACATTTGACCAGATCAGTCTCATATCCTTAGAAATAAAATAGAAAAGGAGTCTACAGGGATGATGAGATAAATATTTAGAATTGTATCAAACCAAATCTTATTGACAGAAGTCCGACTGAAATGAATCAGTAAGGCTGCTCTGAGTAAAATTACAGAGCTAATATTACTTGATGGGTTTTCTCTGAGTAGAACAAAAATTGAATTGAGGAAGGAAGAAATAATTTCCCATGTATCCTACCTGGGGAATCTTGTAGAGACCTGATGTATCTGCAATAAGGAAGGACGTATCAGAACCAAGGCCTCCAATGATAGATATGAGGTTTTTCTGGGTGTCACATTTGTAATTGGGGACAAATCTAGACATATTGAAGAGGAGGTCTAATGTAGTACGGTAGGTCATCCTTGCATCATAATAGCTATCATAGGTGTGGAACCCCAGTGTGACATTGGGCAAGATGCTAGGATTCTCATTTATTTATTTCACAGCAAATGCCAAGGCAAGGACATGTTGGTAGAATTTTGTCAATACACTGCAAACAAAGTAAATGAATTCAAAACATGGATGTACCACAGTACTGGAAACATTCTGTATGAAATACGTTAATATTGAAAAGAAATTGTTTTATTTGTATTTAAATCATTTAATTTAATAGCACCATGCAGTCCAATGAATACTGAACATTGCTCATGGCAATGGTGTTATTCATTCAACTCTTGCTTAACATTTCACTTTTGCAAGCTACAATCTTATATTCATTTCACTGAAAGTCCTAATGAACCTTGTGGGGCTTTCTTCTCAATACAAATTTGGGAAAGGGTAAGGAAATTTGCTTGTAAAGAACCGCATGTGTCCATTTGATGTGTCCATTCCACATTAATTAAGCAGAGAAAGTTAGCCTGCCTGGCATTGATAGAAAGAGCAGTCTGCTAGCATTAGTTTTACCTACTCCCAGGAAAACACAGCTGCAAGACAAAATGGTCTTGCCCTTCTTCAGGTTTTTGCACCCAATGCCTGTCTCTCTTTTCTGCCTGATGTCCCATTTTGACAGCCTCAGATGTCTCTGCAGCATCCAACCTGAACTCTGGGGATCCTTGATTGCCTCATTGCAATTCAGCTAATCTCTACATCCCTTCAAATACAAACATACTAATAGTGATTCCAACAAATCTAGTGTAGTCCTAATGCTTTCTAGATTTATTTTCCTAAAACGGGAGCATGCCAGTCAGTCTAGAAATACATTTGGATTGCATATTGGAGGACTAGGATTGGCAGGATTAGCAGAGCTCTAATTGTATGTTTTGAATTTTTCCTCCATGTCACATTTTTAATAATTTATTTATTTCCATTTTCTCCATTCTCCTCCCCAATATGTATACTGCAGAATAATTGCAAATACAGTTTGTGTGAAGAAAACAAAGTCTCTTTCTGTATCCCTTTAGAAAGCCAAAAGCCTTTTTATGAGATAGGAAAAGTCATATTTTCTATTAGCCAGCTTAGTAGACTGTAAAGACTTCGGGGGTGATTGAAATTGAGGATAGATTTTATATTCCACCATTCATCCCCCAAATGCCTCCATTTCAGATTCCAAATCGTCAGCAATTAGGCCCTCCCTTCCTTAGATTCTTTCTACATGAATTGGGATAAGGGAAGATGTAATTTGCAGAATGTTTGGCGTATGGAAGATTCTTTACTATGAAACATAAGAACAGGTTCTGTGTTGGGTGTTCCTTGAAGAATAACCATCATAGAAAAAAATAATACATATGAGATGCTTCCAACCAATTGATGAAGTCACCCCTGGCTGGTACGCAGTCATGTGGAACAGGAAATAGGATCATTCACAGGGCACCTCATGGTATAAGAGGGACCCAGAAAGAGGAAGTTATTAGAAGCAGCAAAAACCAGTAACAGCAACATTCTGGCAGTCTAGCTTCTATCTGAATGCAGACTCTCCTGTCTTCATTCATTCTATTTTCCTAAGAAAAGGCTACATTGAAAGATGCATGGCTCTGTTCTCTCAGTCCTATAATTGAGAGTGTGATCTGCCTCTGGTGCTACAAACAATGCATTTCTTGAATACTAACAGATACACATATTCAGAAATTAAATTGGCATATCCCTGTGTGCCTCTGGACCCAGCTCTCGGTACACAGGATTCGTTATAACCACTTTCAGGCTTGCTTGTTGATTGTTTTTCTAGTGTGCTTCCAGGAAGCATTTGGAGGTTTCAGCTGGTGAAGAAATTGCAGTGTAATTTGGGTAATTACAGGGGTAGGAT